AAGAATTATTTATTTAATTTTATTTATTCATTCATTTTATTGTTAACTTGACCTGAAAGAGTCACAGAGAGAGAAACAGAGGGAAAGTGAGAAAGCAAGCCACTGGGTCTGGGACTTGAACCTTGATCAGCCATGTGGGAGTGTCCAGCATCTTAACCACTACACTATCTGCTGGCCCCAAGTACTTTGTTTTTGAAAAAGAGAGAGAGAGATTTTTGCTATCAGGCATGTATGCTCGCTGGAGAGACAGCAGAGAGAGATAGAGAGATAGAAATCACCCACCCGGGGGGCAGGGCCATGCCACAGTCCTTTCTCCTTCATTCTTCTCTCGGGATTTTGGCCATGCATGCACACGCGTCTGGCATGACTTTTAAGCCACTGGGTCCAGGACTCAAACCACAATTGACTCCGTGGAAGTCCAGCAACATAACCACTACTCCATCTACTGGTCTCAGTGTCAAGCACTTTTAACCCAAGTGTAGCTCTGGATCATTGTCAAAGTGTACCCCCAAAGCATAGGAAGGACAATGGAGGATTTGCTTTGTACTCTTCAGACCCATGGGCTGGAGAAAGAAAGAAAGGAGTAGAAAGGTAAGGAATTGAGTGGTGGGGAGGAGAGCAGTGAAGGAAGGGAGATCAGCTGACAGTGGAAGTGGTAAGAGAACCTCTGACTAGCTCCTTCTCTGCCTCCTGGTCCTCAGGCAAAGGGCCAATAGGAGGAAGTGGCTGCTCCTGTTATGCAACCCTTTATCTCTCCAGAGTGGCAAAGAGAGATTCCTTCCTTCTTTTAAAAGAATTTGGGGGACGGGACCAGCAGTTAGCGTAATGGCTATGTTGCTGGACTCCCATGTAGTCAACTGTAGTTTGAGTCCTGGACCCGGTGGCTTAAAACTCACACCGGGCACGTGTGTGTGCATACCCAAGATCCCGAGAAGAGAATAGAGGAGAAGGGATTGCGGCGTGGCCATCCTCCCCTGGGGGGTGATTCCTCGCTTTCTGTCTCTCTGTCTCTGTCTTTCTGGCGAGCACACGCACCCTATAGCTAAAAACCTTTCCAAAAATAAAGAAAGAAAGAAAGAAGAATTTGGGGCGTCAGCAGGTGACGTGGTGGCTAAGGCAATGGATTCCCTTATAGTAGGCTGTGGTTTGAGTCCCAAACCTGATGGTTTGTTTTCTCATTCTCTCTCTTTGGTGTCCTATAGCAAATTTAATAACAATAATAATGGATAAAATTAAATCATTATTTTAAAAAAATACTTGCCACAGGGCATGTGCATTCAGAGAGAGACAGAAAGAGAGAGAAGGAAAGTGAGAAAGTACCCTCATGGGGAATAGGTCATAGCACAATCCCTTCTCCATATCTGCATCCTGTCGGGATTTAGGGTACACAGGCACACGTGCCTGGCTCGTTTCTCAAGCTGCCGGGACAGAGATAGGGACCACATGTTATAGTCGTGGGGAATTCGGATTCTTAATCACTAGTCCACAGGGTCACTCTCGACTGTTTCCTGTTCATTGGAGATGTTCTGAACCATTCACAAAAGTGTTGCAGAAAGGTAAAATGGACGTGTGTGACATGCTGGGAAAATACTTCCCCTCCCAAAATATTAGGGAAATGAAGACACATACCATGAGAAACATGCAAATGAATATTACTCCATTTATTTCCCCTAAAAGCTTGTTATGTGGTCATTTGAAAGTCCTTAGTGAGCCGGTGATGTAGTTAAGACAGCTGGATCCCACATGGCCAACTACTTGGTTCAAGGCCCAAGCCCAATGACTTGAAAAACATTCTGGTAATGTGTGTATGCATGCCCAAAATCCTGGGTGGAGAATGGAAGAGAAGGAATTATGGTGTGGCATCCCACTCTGGGGGATGATTTTGTATTTTCCCCGCTCTGTCTCTTTCCAGCATGTGCCCTATGTAAAATTAAAAAGAAAAAAAAAAGTAATTATATCTTATTTAGTACTAGTATTGACTGTTCTCTCTCTTATAGAGCTCTGTGGAGGTAGGGACAATGCCCTTTGTTCATATGTTTGTTTTGTTTTGGTTGTTTTTCATCCCCATGCTATTTTTTTTTTCTACAGTGCATGTGCACTTTCTAAACAGAGACAGAGAGACAGGGAGAGAGAAAGTGAGAAATCACCTCCAGGGGGTATGGCCACACTACTACCCCTTCTTCTCCATTCTTCTCTCAGGATTTTGGGCATGCATGCACACACACCCAGTATGATTTTCAAGCTGCTGGGTCAGGGACTAGAATCGCAATCAGTCATGTGGGAATTCAACACCTTAGCCACTGTGCTGACCTCAATCCCCATGCTAAATTTAGTAGCCCATGGTAGATGCTCCATAAATGGTAAAGATCTAATTCAAAGGAGTTTAGGATCTTCAATGGCTAACATGTAGGCAGAACCTATTAAATTTTTTTAAAAAAATTTGCATTGTGAGCAGGCAGTCTCAGTTCTAGGTCTCTATCTTCTTGAAATTATTGCACGTCAAATAAAAGTACAGCAATACTCTTTGCAGCATTGTCAGTAAAAGCAACATTGGAAAAGCCCAATTACCAATGGAAAAATGGTGACATAATCAAGTGGATCTCCAAAAAAGGAGATGCATTTGAACTCTTAATTAGAATAAGGTACTGATGTAGATTTGTGTCTGTGTTATATTACATTTTAAAAAGCAAGTTACAGACTAATACGTACAGCATGATTGCATTGTTGGAAAGTTAAGAAATATGTGTTTTGGGGCTAGCAGGTGGTGTGGTGGTGAAGACGCTGGACTCCCACATGGCTGATCACAGCTTGAGTCCTGGACCTGAAGCCTTACTTTCACGCTTTCTGTCTCTCTCTGGTCAAAATAAAATAATAATAATAATAATAATAAATAAAATTAAATAAATAATTCTCAGAGGGGGAAAAAGCATGTGCTTCGGAGATAGTTATATAAACGAGAGAAGATTCCAGAAGATGTAAACAAAGGTTAGCAATGAAGGGTGTCAGAAGGACCCTCTCTACCATTGCTTTCTAAAATTTTAAAGTATAAGGTTATGGATGACTTACTTTGAAGAGAAAATTGTAAGTTAAAAATTAATTCTATACTGATTTTACAAATTTTCAATTGATTGCCTTTTTAAAAGAGATATTGTATTTAACTTATTTATGTATTTAAATTTGACCAGAGAGGGACAGAGTGAGAGAGAGAGAGAGAAAGAGAGAGAGAGCAAGCCACCAGGTTTGGGACTCAAACGGTGATCAGCCATGTGGGAGTTCAACGCCCTTAATCACCACGTCATCTGCCAGCCCCAACTGCTTGCCTTTTTTTTTTTTTTTTTTTTTTTTTTTTTTATTTTTATTTTTTTTGGGGAACAGGTGTTTTTGGTAATGGCTATGTCGCTGGATTCCCACGTAGTTGACCGCGGTTCGCGTCCCGGACCTGGTGGCTTAAAACTCACGCCGGGCGCATGTGCGTGCGTGCCCAAGATCCCAAGAGGAGAATGGAGGAGAAGGGATTGCGGCATGACCATCCCCTCTGGGGGGTGATTTCTCGTTTTCTGTCTCTCTGTCTCTCTCTGTCTGTCTGGCGAGCGCACGCGCCCTATAGTGAAAACCTCTCAAAAAAAAAAATTTTAAGACTTTGCTTTGAGTAGGCAGAGATTACTTCAACCAAAGAGTTCTAGAGGAGTCAGCAGGTGGCATGGTGTTTGATGCATTGGATTTCCACATGGTTGACCACTGTTCAAATCCTGGACCTGGTGACTTGCTTTCTCCTTCTCCCTCTCCCTCTCCCTCTCCCTCTACCTCTCCCTCTCTTTCTCTCTGTCTGTCTCTAGTCAAAATTGAAGAATAATGATAATAAATGAAGTAAAAAATAAATAATTATTCTTAAAAGAAAAAGAGCTCTAGAAACTATGACTTTCTTCACCATGCCTTTACATTTGAACCTATTTTTTTTTTTAACTTAAAGAACGTGTTCAGTTTGTAGGACGTTATATTGTGCAAGTCTATTTACAATATTGATATGGATCTGTTACTAGTTTATTTGCACTAGTTGGGTGCCATGTACAGCTGTGCAGTCTCTGCATTTCATGCGGTGTTTGGGCCGGCACAATGAGAGCTGAGAGCTAAGAACTATACCACAGCCAGAGCTATTTCAGAAGAGGATGAGGAGTCTTTAACCTGAATGCTCTCAAAGACATGGCAATGGTTGATGGCAGCCCTGGCGCTAGTTATTTGGTACCATGCTTGAAAGAAAACAAGACTACCATTCCTTACGTAATCCAACGAGGCTGTTTGCCAAGTGAGGGCTTGGCAAGCAGCTCAATTATCATTTGACTTTATCTTTTGTTGTCTAAAACCATTTGCAAGGTCAGAAGGAAACTTCTGAAATATTATCCCTCAAAGCCCCCAGCTGAATGCCTCACTCCTCACTAATCCCCTACTCTCATTTCTCTAGCTTTGACCTGCCTTTTCTTCCTTAAATGGGCTACATCACCCCTTTACTTCACTTCTGAGTCTTGTTCAGACTCACTTTACCTTGAAGTCCTTCTTAAATAGATACCCTTCTGGCCCTGTTCACTGCTCCACCATTTTTTTTTAAGAGAGATTTTTGCTACAGGGTGCATGCACTCGCCAGAGAGACACAGAGAGAGAGAGAGAAAGTAAGAAATCACCCCCCCAAGCCCTGCAGGGATGGCCACACCGCAATCCCTTCTCCTCCACTCTCCTCTCTGGGTTTTGGGCACGCACACACACGTGCCTGAGGTGTTTCAAGCCTTCAGGTCTGGGACCCAAACCATAGTTGGCCGTGTACAAGTCCAGTGCCTTAACCACTATGCCACCTGCTGGTCCCCACACTTCTCCACCTTTAACAGAAGCATGTATAGATTAATGAATTTGCTCATAATGAAAGAAAAACAGAAGTCAGCAATTGCCAACAATACAGACTAAATATTTTATTAGGTTCCAAAATGAGAAAATGGTAGTGTTAACCTATTTTAGTATAAATCCACCACCCTCCGCAAAGACCCTGCCTTCGCGTCCACAGCCCCCCAGTCGTGGTACCGCCTATACTCTTGGGGCCTCAGCAGATACTGCCGTCCCCGGTAGTTGGGCAGCTCGTAGAGGATCCAGCAGCCCTCCAGCACGTGGAGGGAGCGGACCTCACTGAGGTGGAAGCGGTCCTGGATGCAGGAGCAGTCCTCGCTCAGCTCCATCATGAGGCCTTTGTGGTCATCTCTCTCATACAGCCGCATCCTATGGGAGCCTGTCTGCTAGGTCCACAGAAAAGAAGGATCGGGAAAAGCAAATGAGCCTCTTCCAGAATTCATCCAACCACACAACAGATGAACTTGGTAGGCTGGGGCATGGTACTGTCAGTGCCGAAACCAAGACTCGGGGATTACTGAGAAAACTGCGTATGACTCTTCTGCTAGCCTTTAACAAGTCCTGCATGCTTATTACTTCTTTCTTCTCCAGGGAGGAGATGGAATTTTTTAAAAAGTCCAAACTCTAAGTTAGAATCCTTCCAGGATGCAAATGTCTTGATCTTTATTTCCCTGTGTTAATCCAAACTTTTGCTTTGGGGGAAAAAATGTACATACTTAATTTTGACTAGTCTTCTTTTCATGAGAGTATTATCTCCCAAATTTATGTGCATATAAATGTACACTAAAAAAGATGTAAGAAATCGTGTACTTCAGTAGAAAGTTGGTTTAAATAGTTACTTGGCACCAAAATTCAACTGATTTTCCAAATGAAGGAAAATGACTTTTTCTGAAGTTGGATGCTATCTTTAAATATTCTATGTTCATTAGAGCTTTTGACGTTTCCTGGTCCATGGTGAAATCTGTCTACTTCATCCATTAGAAATTCCTTTACTCTAGGTAAAACAATGTATTAGAAATTCTCCCATCTTCTGATTCGTCAGCTTCTTATTTGCAAATTTTGCTTTATATCTTGCTACAGTATAATATTTGTTACAGACAACTTTTGATTGACCTACATGTAGTGAACTCTTCTAAGTGGGTTCTTCCTTATAGTCTCCGCTGTCTTTGTGCATGTAACAGATTCTGGGCTTCAGCCACTTGACCCCTAAGTGTTTCTAAAGGAAGATCTCCCTCGCTCTAACCCACATCCACTTTATGGTGAGGAGACAGCGTGAACAAAATCAAGCACTCACTTGGGGGATGAGGCAGCAGGAGCGGATGGAGTCACTGAGGCCCATCCACTGCTGGTAGTCGGAGTAGTCCCCGCGCCGCAGGAAGTACTGGTGGCCCAGGTAGTTGGAGCGCTCATAGATCATCCAGCAGCCGCTCTCCACCCGGATGGAGTTGCAGCGGCTGAAGTAGTTCTGCAGGTTGGGGCAGTCGCTGCTGCATTCGTAGCAGCGGCCTTGGAAGCCCCGGTCCTCATAGAAGATGATCTGCAGAGAAAGAATAATCCCTAATTAAAGCATTGGCTCCCAATAGACGTTCTATCGAGGCTTTTTTCTTTTCTTGTTCTTTCACTTGTGTTCTGCTCACCTTCCCCATGGCCGATCCACACGGATGATGCCAGTTCAGTGTGTCGGGCCGACAGCGGTCTATATAGCAGGACGGCTGCTGCGTTGGCAAGAACAACACAAAAGGGGCCCGCGCGGGTAAGGGAATCTCATGGAGCTTTTTGACGTGCTGCATTCAGAGGGAACGATTGTAGATTTTGCCCTCATGCTCTGGTATATTCCAATGCTGTCCTGTATGTGCTGCTCTGTGTAGTTTTTCTATGGATTCTGAGTATTTTCTAAATTTATCACCACGTCGGTCTGAACTTTTCACCTGAAATTCATTTCTCTACACATATGATTCCATTATACCCCATGAAATTTTTGGAAAAAATCTCTGCTTTTGTAGAAGTGCCCCAGAATTCCAGACAGGCTGCAGGTGAGATAGACTGCCCCAAGCACTGACCTGGCAGAGCCGACTCCGTCTTACGGTCTTTTCCTTTACTTGCCTTGCCAGGCCAGTGCAGTACACAAATCTAGATTCCGAACTTCCCTAGTCTGGGCTGCACTGACCCGCCACTTTAAGATCTAGCTCCTAACTTCTTTGATGGGTGCACTTCATGTAACTGGAAATCAGCCCCTGCTAGTCGACTTGTGATGAGAAGCAAGGGAAGGCTTTCTGTAACCTTTAAGCCCAGTATATAGCTTTATTGGTTTCTTCCCCCTTTCCAAGGATGATGGAAGCCATAAAGCTTCGTGGACGAAGGTGCGAGCTTTGAACCCAGACTGCCTGAACTTAGAATGCCCTGAGCAGTATGAACTTGGCAAGTCACCTAACCTCTCAGAGCATGAGTTATCCCATGGGATAGTATGGTAAATGAAAAGAAAAGAAAGAAAAAGGAAGAAAAGGAAAAAAGAAGGAAGGAAGGAAGGGAGAGAGAGAGAGGGAGAGAGAGGGAGGAAAGAAGAAAAAAGGAAAAAGAAAAAGAAAGAAAGAGAAAGAAAGAAAGAAAGAAAGAAAGAAAGAAAGAAAGAAAGAAAGAAAGAAA